AATGATGAATCCACCAGGCAGTTCGCCACCAGGCAGCTCGCCACCAGGCAATTCGCCACCAGGCGGTTCGTCACCAAGTAGCTCTCCACCAGGGAGCTCGCCACCGGGCAGTTCGCCACCAAGTAGCTCATCACCAAGGCACGTCACCACCGGGTCAAATAAYGAGGTAMTTAGCCAAAAAATTTATACATCACAAAAAATGGTACGTAACCAGAAACGGTTACATCAATAAGCACCCATAAGGACAAGTCTATTCTAGTAACTGATAATTCATTGGCAATATATGGTTATTCTTTCTTTTGGTGATTTATTCAAATTTGTGAGTATTTTGTGTGAAAGGATAAATATACAACGTGGTTCAACGACCCAGTCTAATATCTGAACCAAAATGCTCCGTTTGGGAAATGCCAAATAGACATCGTTAGGAAAGTTATTAATTTAAGTAACAATCATCAGATTGTTGGGAAAACCAATTTTCCTTAAGAGCAATAAATCTGATAAACTAATGGTTGCTGAAATTGTTAAGTTTTTCCCATGCAGATGTAGTTGAAAACCTGTGGGCTTGAAAATGCCATAAATATATCTTTGGTAGACAAATTGTAAACAAAGCTTTTCTTCATAATGTTAATAGCATGGGCTTGCCAGATGACTTACCCAGACAAAGAGATTTAGGGGACCCAGAAGAGACAGATAAACTAATGGGCTTGAAAGATCCACTATGATATCATCCTCTTTCCTTAATGACACTGATCATTCTATCCAACAACACGCTACCATGTCAATGTCTAAATGACAAGAAAACCCTCTTTACTTGGATTCAAAGTTTTTAGAGTGATTTGGTTTGGCCAATCCAATGTCCTAAAAGATTGTAAACCATAAAATATATGTTGTTGAACAAGGTGCTGACGCAGATTGGGCAACGGAGTTGCGGCCAATTGCAGTGGCAAATGCGCTTCTGTGGTTTGCTATTTTATGATCCATTCTATCTTTATGCCTTTGGCTTTGGATCGACAAAATTCCCAAGTAAAATTGCCATTTTGATCTGAATATCACAAATATGGTTGCATCTAATTGGGCTTCTCCCACTGTTTAACTATATATGATTTCGAACATTTGAGGGAGGGCTGGTTTAATTAATTTTATGACTTGGGTATTGGGCTTGGAACTAAAAAAAGTTGGCATGGGTTAAAGAGCTTAAAAAAAAAAAAAAAAAGCTTACCCAAGCCCATGGACGTGTACGTGGGTGCGCGAGCGAATATGTAATTTAGTGGCTTGAACAAGAAATACCAGCAACAAACCCAGGAATTCAAATGACCATTTATCCCAATGCAACCATACCGAACTTATTCCTAGGACAAACAGGTAACCCTGGGGCTGCCCTGCTACGCTTCATTTTGTAGGTATTACGAACTGCAGCAACCACGGACATGCATTGGGACATATTATTCGGGTTTCTTCTTCTTCTGTAGTGTTAACAACACATTGAGGTTTCGTGAGGTTCATGGCCCGTGAAGCTAGCTGCAATATTAGAGATGCTTGGATCCATTGATTCTCTTTGCAAATACGACCACCGAAGAAGCTATCTGATCGATGAATAACCCGAAGCGTATGTATGCGTTCTACTAGGAATTAAATCCCTAACCTCCTCCATACATATGGCTTGGAAGGTGGGTTATACAATTCACGTACAATAAGCTTGTTAGCGGTTAAAATGATTAATTTCGTGTATCGAATGAACAGAGAACAAGTTTTGTTCTTCCTTGTGGATAAGCTTGACAAACTCCTACCATGCATGCTGCGTTCATGCACATGGATTTCAGCAATAACAACGGCACTTTCTTGTTATTTAAACTGTTTAATTAGTAGTACGGATTGGTTGAATCTTACCAGAACGTTAATGAATAAGAACAGTTCGGATCTGCTCCCAACAGCCATTGCAGCCGACAAGGGCCGCACATGGCTGCCATGACTGTTGGGACCGTGTTTTGGTTTGGGACCAGATCCAAACTCAAAGTACAAAGTACAATACAAAACGCAAATCCTTTTATAGACTGCCACCTGTAATTTGGGGGTATTGATTCTTAGCCCCCCGAGCTTTCGTTTGTGATAAATGCTCTCCCTGGAATTTTAGATTTCAACACTTTGTCCCGACATTAGCATTTTATAAGTTAGCTTCAGAAGAAAATATTTTTATGTGTAATAAAAGAAGGTTTCTTAAGTTCCAAACTGTCTTTGTGTCATTTTATGAGACTATTTTGTATAAATTGATGATAAAATATAGCAAAAAAAATAAAGGAAAAGTAAATTGCAGATAATATAAAGGGAAAGTAACAAAATAAAAAATTATATAAAACACAATAAATGAGAAAAATATAAATAAACAGAAAACACTAAAAAGAGATGCTATGGCTTAATATGCCTATTTTTGTTATTTCAATATTTTCTTCTCTCAGACTATTGACATATTTTAATAATTTTACCTCAGGTGCAAAGTATTGGAATGTGAAAATTTAGGGTGAGGCTTTATTCTGTAGACCAAACCTCACTACTCCCAAAGCATGTGCTAGTCTGTAACCCTTTTCTTTGGCTGCTTACAAAGGTGCATGTTTTGTAAGGGTTACAAAACCGAGAAGAGCAACGCCGAGATGCTCTGCTTCCTCAAGGTTCAGACTACTTCAGACCTCCTTCCGTAACAAATTAAAGTGCCCGTGATGCAATAAAATTGAATACGAGAGTTGCTATTGATGATTTCGATTCATTTGACAGAACAAGTGACGAAGAAGAGATTCAAATGGGCATTTTCTCAGCCCTCTGGATTTACCAAAAAAAAAAAAAAACTAAAACTAAAACCACTTCCGCGTATGTTTTTGTAGATAGGTTTGGTTTATCTGAAGTCTGAACTGGTTTTAACAAGGTGGATCCACGTCGGATTAGGAAGAGAAAAAAAAAAGGACTCAAAAACAGTGTCCCCGCGCGCCGTTGGTTTTATTTTTTGTTCAGGTTTTTCTTTCCTCCAGGCCACGTGTTAAGTTACTATTGGGTGTATAATTGGCACGTATGATATACAAATAAATACGTGGAACGTTTATAAGGTGCTCCTTCTTGAGGGTTTGTTTTGTCGATGGCATAAGATATAGGGAAAAATGAAGAAAAGTGAGAATTTCCTAACAGTATAAAGTATATTATAATATAGAGCAGTGCGCTTTGGAACAAATAGTTGTTCTGTCTACGCCTACATCCTGGTATGACCGTATGAGCACGCGCGGCTGCAAACTCTGCTTCAAATTGGTTGTTTGAATTTATTTCTAATTTTTAAAATCTGCGCATTTAAACCAGAAAATGGTGTCCTGGGCTAAACGATCCTTAATTTGGAGAGTTGATAATGGATGGGTAGGTGTACAAAGTGAATACAGATTGAAATTGAATCGGTGACCTGGCAAGTGGTTACAACCCTTTTGCGTTTCTCCTGTGAGCCTAAGCACATGACTGAAGCAGATTTTTGCCAAAATTTGTTTTGGAATCTATTCTGTGGATGCAGCCTCAGCCCCAGCCCAGTCCCAAAACGTTTCCATCTCCAAAGTTCAATACAACGCCCGAGACCAGCTTAATTTATTACAAACAAAAGAGCTAATAGTGGATCAATTCCTATATTAATTGTCTCCTTGTTTGCACCATGAACTATCATCTGATCTTACTCTTACACAGATAAGCCGACCCCTACTCCCTGTCCTGATGGACTCTGGTCTTTGTCCGTCTCTCTGTCTCTCTCACTCCCTCTAAAGGAAGTTATGTCTATACAGCAAACATGTACATGATGAGATCGTTATTTGAAGATCCTAGGCGCTGGTCGTCAGCACACATCCACGTCGTCAGTGACGAGTTGGGGGCCGAGATAGGGTGCCCCAGTGACAACTAGATCCTCAGGCAAATCTCTCTCCTCCAATATTACATAACCTAAGCCAATAAAATTTAACAACAAATTAACCACCATAAGAATTAAGAAATGTGCAGATATGATCAAACAAACTTTCGATTCTTATTAACAGACAATTGGACCATAGCGACAACTTGTAAGTGTAAAACTTACCGGGAAGAGAAGGAATAGGGATATCTGAGAAGTAAGTCGACGGCCTCCCGAACTCGTCGGAGTAAGGCGGAGACAAGACATCCAAGATGGCGCAAGGAGTCAATGCAGTGAAGGAATGTATGTTTCCACCACTCCTGGGAAATAGAACGGAAGCTTGTTTTGGAGCTTTGATGATGCCTTCCATCACCGTACTCGCTAATCCAACTACACCCACAATTTAAAAGGAACGATTATAATTAACCTGAGATTGTTTTAGTTTGTAACCTGAGAGAGACTCAGATCTTATTTATTTATTTCTTCTGTGTWAATAGAGCTAGGTATCAAGATGTAGCCAATTAACATGTAAGTTGAATAATAAACAACACTTACTCATTCTGCAATTAGCCGTGTCTACTTTCAGCCAATCGTAAGCTTTGCAATAGACGGAGCCGTACAAAACCTTGCTTAGCACCGTCATTCCGGGATGGTCGTGCAAGGGAAGCGAGCTTCCCGCCGGGAAGCAAAAGATGCCAATCTGCTCGTGCAAGGCATACACATATTACATAAACGTCTTACAAATCCATTTCCATTAATTAAAGTATTTTCCCAAGATAATAATTAATTGAATATTGGATACATACCGAAAAATCGTCAGATTCGTAGATGTGAATGTAGGTAATCTCGGTGACTGCTAACCCAGAAATCAATCCCCTGGAACCCTCTGGACTTGAAGGACAACTAACCCATGAACGCGGAGATCCTTCTGAGTCGAATTCGTCGATCCCTACGTCTATGGCTTCTATTGTATCTGAATTTTGTAGGGAGAAACGTCAACAAAAGAAGAAGAAAAGAAAGCAAGAGAGATGAATGGACTATGGAGAAAAATAAGCAAATACCTAAGAAACTTCTCAACCATTGAATCTTTTGGAAGGTCGGGGGTTCTTTGTCCGAGAAGACTTCAGTGCAGATATCATAAAGCCCTTGTATTTTGCTTCTCTCCATTGTTGTAAAATGAGTTCACGGACTAGAATATGATATCCCTTGTAGCTACCGAAAAAATATATATAAGTAAGGGAGATAGAAAGAGAGAAGAGGAGTTTTGGGTTTAACTACGTCAAAAAAACCAGGGGGCCGGCTGTATCCTGTATGGAGGGAGGGGGATTGACTTTACCATTCTATGGGCCTGTCCTTGTTTACTTATGAGTTGTTTTTCTCAATGCAATGGACACCACGAGCTTTATTTATTAAAAATTACTGAATTAAACAAGTAGCTTATACAACAAAAGTACGTACTCCCTATGTTTTGGGGGACTTGGAATGACCACAATGACCTCATATCTCTGCTTGAAACAACCAAACCACGGCTCTTTATTCCTGTTTCAACCCTTCAACAGGACTCAATATCAATATATATATAGAGAGAGAGAGAAAAGTGTATTAATGGGAGGACAGTTTTATCCAGTACTGATTATTTGATTATTTTACTACAAGATAGGATAAATCTGTGGGACCGTTACAGCTTTCTTGGCCACATTGATGTGGCGTCATCGATCAGGACTTATGTAAGCCTAAGCCAGCCATCTCGATCTCACAATCGACAGATGTCGCTCCATCTGATCCCAAGTGTCTGTCTGTGGGCACCTCTTGGATGCATGGTTGTTAAGGTCACGGCATGGTGAAGGCTTCGAAAAGCGTTCCGCCCGTTAAATTAGGCGGCTGGGATGAAGGGATCATATCTTTATTAATTTTGCAGACATCAAACGGTTAACCATATTTTCTTTACAAATCACAACTTTCATTTCATTCCTCTAGTAGAAGACTAAAACTAGACTTGACCTAGATGTGAAGGGGAGGGAGGTATATCATTGTTGTTGGTGACGATGACTTTCTTCGCTTTTTGCTTTTTGTGAGGCACACGAGACAGCTAATTAGCTAGCTGAATCAATAATGTTCACCATCAGCTCTCTCAGCCCTCCTAAATGGGGCACACAGTGCTCTGCAAAACTCAAGAGTAAAGACCGGGGCAGCGGCACCTTTTCTTCTTTTATACGTTTCTTTATTCAGATTTAAATCTTTTAAATTCTGCAAGCCAGTCCCTAGCTTTGGGCTTTTGCTGCACAATACAATTAGCGACCTATATATGTAATTCTGGATAGGCCTCAACTGCTAATTTCACTGTTGAAACTCCGGCCAGCAGTGATCCGACCCAACTTGTTCTTCCTTCCTTCTATTTATGATTCTATGTACAAAACGACATTCTCATTTATAACCTCCTACCCCAATTTGACCCGGTTAAGATAAAAAAGAACATAAAGAGAAATTACAATGCATGTTCTGATAAAGTTACCACTTACCCCTGATATGTTGTTAAAACCAGCTACGGATGAACAGTTTGTACAGTATGCAGTAGTAGTGTGAGTCTGAATCATACTTGATTCGTTGTCACATCAAAACCATCAAAATACAATCAGGTTGGGCGGGCCGGGGTGGTAATCTTGAAAAGGGGGGCTTTCCCATTCCCATTGTTTGAGGGAAAAGGGTAAGTGGGGGATTCGGAACCCAGATTTCTGGTACCAACAGACGCGGTCAGCGGCAAGCATTTGCCACGAGGTATCAAGTGGGACCATGTAGGTTTTAGTTTGGAAAGATTTTACATTTTGCATTTTACATATACAATATATACAATATAAATACATATAAAACATAAGGTTTTACATTTTACATTTTTATATTTATACTCTTTCCAAACTGAATCTTGATATTATATTAACACGTGGAAGACGCCCATAAGTTGAGGGTGGTTGAGAGTAACAGAGTAGATACCTTCCAAAAATGTCATAATACAAATCATTCCTTTTGGGGTACCCTAGCCTACATGTTCTTTGCCATTGCCGGTGAGGGTCCATATCTGAAACCATAATTATATAATTTATATTATAGAAAATTTAGACGGGGAATATAAGATAACAATGGACAGTTAAAAAAAAAGCCCCCTTTTTTCAAGTCAGATGCCATTCGGTTTGAGAAAGGATTGTGATGAGGGCGGATTTGACCCTATAATGACATTATGACGCTTGTCACTTATAGGCAATTTGGCACTTACAGATATTCTGGCACTTACAGGTAACTTGCCACCATACAACACTTATAGGCAATCCGCCACAGGCAGTTCACCATCATGTATCCTGACAATTTAGACAACTTGGTATTGCACAGGCAGCTTCCCACTAGGCAGTTCGTCATTAGGCAGCTCGTCACTTACGGACAGCTTGCCTCCTAGTCAAACCGACCACCGTAGGACAATCTCAGGGAGCTCACCATCGTACCTCGCATTTTACGGGATTGTGACTTGTAACGGCTATATTAGCTCACCCATTCCTCGATTTAGGCGGAACTGGGCAATCCTACCGGTTGGTGGCTTTATGCCCACCTAGCACGAAAGCAGGTCTCATCACAGCGGGAATCCAGGAACTGCTCCACCAAACCCACGAGGACTCCAGTATATAAAGACCTTACCCCCCAGGGGCAAAGGAGGCGAGGAATGAGGTGGTAACCCTTGCTCTTTAACTCTCTCATTCTCTAATATCATTATCAGCTCGCTACTAAGTGCTGACTTAGCCATCGAAGTGACCTCGCCGGGTAAACACCCCCGGGCTCTCTGATTCAGTTCTTGCAGGTCCCTCAGCTCCCGCCGCCTACAAATATGAGCATATCACTTTCAGCTCGGAAGTAGCCGGATTGCGCTATGCTAGAAAGATCCACTTCAGTCTCCGAGTCATCAGTCACTTAGGAGCAAAGGTGATGAAGTATTTAGCCAAAAAATGATACGTGCAAAATCCAAGCGGCTCCTCATAAATCGGTGAGCACAAATGCAGTAGTATATGCATATCATTCTTTTTACAATACCAGAATATCTTCGTTGTCATAAGTCATAATATGCCCTGGTTGTCTCTATTGTATGGGAGACAACAAGAGTAATTACTGCAACTATGTCATAAACATGTTTTCACTTCACCCACTGATTTAACCGGTTGGATTGGTCCCCAGTACGGGTGCAATTCCGACGGGTTGGGTTGGGTTGAATGTCAACTTTGGGAGACCGGATCTATTCCTCACACTGATCCCATACGTACATTTCAATACATGGTGAGATATGCCTGTAAATCAGTGAGGCACCCGTGTGAGGAGTAGATCCCAATTCCAATGAAGGCCCAACTTTAAAGTGCAAATTTGGGGTTAAGTAGTCTATTCTAGGCCCAAATTGAGTTTAAGCTAACACACTTAAGTTTGGATTAAGGTAGGTTGGTTTTGAATGGATTAGTCAAGTTTAAAAGAATATATGAATACAAAAAAATTTTTATTGAGTTTTATGAATTTATTTAAGAGAAAACTTGATTAAAGATATAAAAAATTCATCATATAAACATTATAATTACAAAAAAAACATGATTAAATTATTCACACGTATATCCATTACAAAGCATCATGTSCGAAAACACACTCAATTTTATTGATTTTATTTATTTATAATTTTATGTTATTGAATGAGTACCGGGTTGGCATTTTCGAAAGATAGATTGCCAATATTTGGCCGCAGAGTTCACGGATGATGAATTTAATTGATGCATTGGCTTGGATGTTTCGTATAACTTACGGCTCTTTCGTCTCCTCACAAGGTGTTTGCTTAACAAAAATAACAAATGGATAAGACCATTGGATTGAAATTTCCGATGGCTATGGGAGGTATTTCAGTTTTCAGGGGGTACGGGTTTGCTATTCACTAGTCAGATCAATTCTTGGATACAAAAGCTGCTTTTAGCTTGTAAATAGCAGGCCGAGTATTGTATTGTATTATATCTATGTAGTATGATTTACTTTTTTTATTAGTGGGGCTACATAACTTTGGGTAGACCATCCCCCGATCCATGCCCGAGTGAAGGTGGTGTTGAGAATTGGGGTCATAAAAATTTGGAGAAAAAGCTTTGAATTGTGTTTAAAGATATTGTCTTTAATTGTCTTTAAAATGCTATTTTTTTTCAGAATTTGCTATTGACTTGTAGATGAATTCATTTCAAGAATACAATAGTGCATTGGATAAGAATATGTAATTAACAAAATTAAAGAGTCTTCAAAGAAACGTTCTGTGAGATGGTATCAKATTGAACTTAAAGAAACAAGTGGGGTTTTCCAAAACTTGCATTCATTTTCTTGATTCACATTTTTTATATAATTTCTTAAGAGTATGCAGAAGAGGAAGGTGTTGGTTTAGAAGTGGCCCTTTGAACGACCACAATTTCAAACATTGTGACTGTTAAAAGGTATTTAACAGTTAATGACTATTAACTTTGAATAGTGCTGTTTGATCACATCCGATCGAATCGTGACCATTGAAACACCGATGGTCAACTTCACACCAAAAGTGCACCTCATTGCGCCACATACATGCGTGCACACACATTGCACGATAGCAAGCCCCCATACTCTCTTCTTATAATTCTAAGTATAAACAAGCTCCTATTTAAAAATTCAAAACTTGTTTACTAATTTTCCAACATGGAACAAGTTGAAAGCTAGTTCTAGTATAAGAAGACTATTTTTCAAAATATATGTGCAACTGTGTTTTTTCCATGTAATTAATCAATCAAACCACATTGGATTTAATTTGTAAAGAGATTAAAATCCAACAGGTGGAAATCGATCCCAATGTGTTATTAAAAAGCTCAGTTTGGAAGGAGTGTAAGTACAAACATGTTCAATGCAAAATCTTGAATATGGTACTTTTTTTTAATCTTCAAAAATTGGAAGGAATATACATACAAATTTATACAGTATAAATGCATACAAAATAATATAAAATATAAGGCTTTGCACATTTATATTTGTACTCTTTCCAAATTAAGCCTAAGGCTCCATTACATATATGTAGAGTGCAATATGGTCCATGCAAATGCAAAGTTGGTTTAATTTTTCATTAATAAATAAATTTTCGTTCCAAACAATGTTAAATTGTTGCGATAGGTGCAAACACGAGTCCCAAGATTGGAATACACCTTTTTAACATTGTTCAACTATGAGTACAAAGTTTA